TCTGATCCAGGACCCCGACTCCTGACCTGGAGCCCCTTTCCCCAGAGACACGGACCACGGGGCTCACACGGCGCTGCAGTGGTTTAAGACCCTGGCCCAGATGGAGCAGCATGCGGCATCCTCCCCAGGAACCTGCCGCTCCCACCAGGTGCCAGCAGCCCTTAGACGCCTCTGATGCCACGACTCATCCTCCTCCTGGGCGCCGGATGGAATGTACGGCTGGCTTCTCTCCATCGCATGACTGTAATGCCTAGCTTCTACTTACTGTAGGACTGTGAAGTTTTCTTCTCAAATCAGTTTTAGGAAAAGGCACGCTGATGTAAAGGCAGAAGTGAACAGCAGATGACGGGGCACTCGGCTGCGATGGTGGACACTCAGTGGCCTGTGCCCAGGATCCTGGCTTTCATAGCCACATGCCCCACTGTCACATACGGAGGCGCTGAGGCCAGGCAGAGCTCCAGCAGAGGGGGCCTGGCCCACGGCCGTGTCCCAGGGAGGGAGCTCATGTGAACAAGGGGGCCTCAGTTCACGTGGGCTCGCGTGGTGGAGGATCTCATGCTACCCACACACCCCGGGAACCCTCCCCAAACCCCGTGCTCGGGAAACAGACTTTGCTTGACTGAGTAGGGGAGGGGAGACGACACCCCTGCTGTACGCACAGGGCAGAAAACAGATACAGAGGGGCCTGCTAATCTGGTTTCTTTCATAACTTGTGGACAAAACCCAACAAGATGTAAGATGCATGAAGCCTCAGCTCACTTCTCCGACAGCTGGGAATGTTCTCCGCGGCAAGATTTTCGACACTTGGCACTGAGGACACTGGGGGATGGACTGTCCTCTATGGGGGTCCATCCTGGGCACTGTGGGGCGTGGAGCAGCCTCCCCGGCCCCACCCCCTCAATGCCAGGAGCACCCCAGTCATGACAAGCACAGACGTCCCCAGACACCACCGCCCAGTGTCCCCTGGGGGCAGAGCACCCCTGGTCGAGAACCATTGATGCACCTGCAGGCGGTCGCCAGGGCAAATGCATGAAGATCTCAGCACAGTACAAAGCAAGAATGTAACCCCAAGGTGGAAACAACCGAAGCGTCCACCGGTGTGGACTAGCTAAATAAACTGTGGGACATCCCCACCCGCAGGACGTCCACAATTAAAGGGTTCTCCATGTGCTGCCCGCAGGGCACCGAATGTCTGTGTTGCCCCAGAATTCAAATGTTAGATTCTACCCGCAATGTGATGGGTTAGAGGTGGGGCCTCTGGGAGGTGATTAGGTCATGAGGGCGGAGCCCAGGTGAAGTGGATTAGTGTCCTTATAAAGGGGCCCCAGCGAGCTCCTCGCCCTTCACCAGGTGAGGACAGGGTGATAAGACATCATGTCTGAACCTAGAAGAGGCCCTCCCCAGGCACCGAATCCGCCTTGGTCTTGGACTTCCAGCCTCCACACAGAGAGAAATAAATGTCTGCTGTTTACAAGCCACCCTGGCTGTGGCACTGTCACAGCAGCCTGAGAGGACTGAGACACAGGTGTTGACAGGAAGGTTGCTGAGGTTTATTTTAAGTGAAATGAGCAAAGAGCAGACAAGCACGTAGACTGTGACTCTGGTAATCAAAGAAGTGTGTGCAGACTAGTTTTTAAAAACAGAAAGGCACCTACCCTCCCAGGAGGCTGTGGGACACCACCAGTAGCCAGTGAAGCGGTCAAATTCTTCCTGGATGACGAAGGTGGCTACGCCCGCAGATCTGGGGTCGTCGAGGACACTGGACAAGCCTGGAGGGGGAGAGAGCCGGCTGAGAGATGAAGAGTCTGGCCTCGAGCAGCGCTTCTTCCCTTGCACGGCTGACATCAGCCCAGACTGCTCTGTGGGGGGCCGGCCGGGGCCGGCCTGTAGGGTGTGCAGCACCACCCCTGGCCTCCACCCCTTGATGCCAGGGGTGCCCTCATCCAGCTGCGACAACTGAGAATGTCTCTGGGCATGACCATTGTCCAAGTTGCCCCAAGAAGCTTAGGTTTGGAGAGGGTGCTGGAGCCCAGGGGCAGGCTGGGAGGCTGGGATTGGGGTCTCAGGCCATGACTGGCGCATTTCTGCAGACACTTGTAGAAGGGTGATGACACTTCTGGAGAGCAGGGGCCTGTGGGAGAACCTAGGTCAGGTGAGTTCTGAGCTCAGCTCGAGGAGTCGGGTAGGTGAGCGGAGGCAGGAGGGGTGGAGGTGAGCAGAGGCACAGAACGACATCTGGCGGGGAGGCCAGGCCACTGCAGCCAGGCCAATCCACACAGAGGAAGATCACAGTCCAGGCAGCTGGGCTCTCTGTGAGGCCAGAGGAGGGATAAGGGAGGGTGGCCTGTGAGATCAGGGTTCTGGAAGGTGCCTGGTGGTCTGGCAGGAAGTGCGGTGGCGGACCGGGGCCTTTCCATAAGCTGGCAGGGTGGCTGTGATGGCCATGCACAAGAAGCACTGGCCGGGCCCGGCCGACACCACCCCCAGGTGCAGGCCCGTCCAGCCCGGCCTCACCTCTGTGGCAGAAAGTGAGCCGCCGCTCCTCGCCTGTCTCGATATTGGCCACCCACAGGTCACTGCTGTTGATGAAGGAGAAGAAGGCAGGGTCGGCGGGGCAGATCTTGGGGTCCATCCGGGGCCCGGAACACTGGGTCTTGATTTCCAGGGGCTTCATGGGGGACACCTGGGGATAGAGAGGTCTGGCTCAGGGGGGCAGGATGCCACTGCCCGCCCTGTCCCCCGCCAGCGAGCGCAGCTCACCATGAAGCCGTTCTTGCCCCCGTCCCGACAGTGGAAGAGGCTGTTGCTGGCCTGGAAGAGGAAGAGGCCGCTCTCACTGTGGAAGTCATAGGAGGTGATGCCGAAGACGCCCAAGCGCTTCCGCTCCCGCAGGAGCTCCTCTTCCCGGGAGTAGACCCCGTGGTGGGGCGTGGCCTGCAGATATGGGGACACCAGTGTCAGCAGCCAGAGGCCCTGGGACTCTTGGCACAGACCCTCCAGCCTGGGCATTGTTGGGAGGAACCCATCTGACTTTGGTCCAGGAGAATGTTCTGATGAGCAGAGCTGTGCCCAGAGAACAGGTGGCAGAGCCCCCACCACAGTGGCCAGACAGGGCCCTCACCTGGTGGCTGCAAGGGTGACCAGTGGCCTGGGGTTGTTGGGCTCACCTGGAGCTCCTCCCCTGTCCCCACTGCCATCCTACAGACCCCCTCCCTCCCGTTCTGATCACAATCCCTTCCTGTGAGAGACTTTCAGCCGAACCCACCCAACAGCACGCGCTCCTACTCTCTGCGTGGGTAGGAGCGGGGGAAATTCAGGACCACATGACCACCCGTACGCTTGATCTTGGGTGGGGCGGGCAGTAAGCCACGGTGGACACCATGCAGCTGCCCGGGGGTAATTCTGAAGATATATGGAAATGCAGAGGAACATTAAAGGAAACAACTTGGCTTCGCGACTGTCCGGAGCAGGGGACAGGGACAGGGGACAGGCAAAAGTGAGAGCAGCGGCATGGGCCCTCCCCCAGAGCCCCTCCCCCCGCATACTGTCGCGTTATATTTATGAACATAGTCAGTGCAAAAGACACTCCCACCCCTCACCAGCCAGCTCCTCCCTGGGAGTGAGGAGACTGGATAACATTCATTAGCAGCTAAATTTCTATTAAAGGTTCTTAGCCCAAGTTACTTCCATGCCTTCGATGAGGCATTTAAAGGGAAGAGGTGCTTTTGATGCAAGCTGTCATCACCAGCCCAGCATTGGGGTTTGGGTGTGAACTGAGGGAGTGGGAAGGGCGGGCCTCCATGCAGGGCTGGGTACTCATCTCAGCAGCACAGGTGTTAATGGGGCATCAGGCTGGGGCCCCTCGGGGGCAGGGCCCACAAAAGCCGCGTGTCCCGCCTGCGGGCAGGGCCCGACACGTGCAGCTCACCTGGAAGTGATCCAGCATCTGCTTCCAGGACAGGAGCAGCAGGGCCTCCTTCCGGACCTTCCTGGGGATCTCGGAGTAGAGCAGGGAGTTCTCTCGGCTGCCATAGGGCATCCCTGGGGGGAAGAGATGAAAGCCGGAATGGACGAGGGTCTCGGGTGGGGCTCCCCGCGTGGGCCCAGCTGATTCCTCCTGCTTCTGCAGCGCCTGGCAGCACACCCCTCCCCACAGAAGCTGTGGCCCCCGGGTGTGCACACGGCAGCAGGTGCAGTAGGGGCTTCCACCTTGGAGATGTTAGTGCTGATCATCTCATCGCCCGAGCTCCTGAAGAAACAGCGCACAAGGGGACAAAAAGTGGGAAGTAGGTGACCCCCACCTCGCCATAGGCTGGGCTCCGGTCAAATGTCCTGTTCGATTAAGGGCTTTTGCAAAGGCTAGGAATTAATCTAGGATCAGAGTAAGGGCAAAGCCATGGCCAGGGATCGGGAAATGTGTATCCAATCCAGCACCTCCCTCCTCGGCACTGCTGACACCAGGCCGGTCCTCCTCTGTGGGGCTGTCCTGGGCACTGGGGGGTGCAGAGCAGCCTCCCTGCCCCACCCACCGGATGCCAGGAGCCCCCCCTAAGTCATGCCAACCACAGACATTCCCAGACATCGTCCAGTGTCCCCTGGCGGGGGAGGGGGCAGGATCACCTTGACTGAGAACCACTGACCTAGTCTAACCTTATCTGTGAACTATAATAGCTGCCTATTGAGGCTCGCATGCAGACTAAGTGAGGTAGGAAGTATAAAGCACTCAGCACGAATGGTGGCAAATAAAATAAGGGCATGTCCTCCAACTGGCAGTGTCTTCGCCTCCGTGGGTGACGGTATGACTGCTGTTAACAAAGTTCACGGTGGGGGCAGCATGGCTCTCTAGGGAAGCCTGGGGGTCCCCGCTCTCTGGGCAAAGAGGCAGGGGCCCGGCAGGGCTCCTCAGCAACAGGCAGGATGCTCTGCAGTGGTCCAGGAGTGTGCCATGAGTGGCTAGGTCCCTCTGACTCCTTTCAATCTGAAGTTTTCCAGGAGGAAGATTCGGCTTGGCGCTGGTCTCTTTTCAGAGACTGACCTCCCCATACACACCCTCACTTTTTATATATATATTTTTTGTCCATCTATTTTATTTTTATTTTTTAATTTTAAAAAAACTTGGGGGGAAGGACGTAATTAGGTTTGTTTTATTTTAATGGAGGTACTGGGGATTGAACCCAGGACTTCATGTTTGTTACACACAGGCTCTATGGCTGACCTCTCCCCTGCCTGCTGCTGTGGGAGAACAGGTGGGCCCCAAGCTCAGCGCCTCTGGAGCCAGAAGGAGCTTAAATGTACCTGTCCCACTGCAGTTACCACTATGGGCAGCTTCTCAGTATGTCAAGCAACCTGGGTTTTCCACTTGTGACAAAGTTTGCATGTCAAGTATAGTCAGTAAAAGAGAGCGTTTAAAGAAAAATATTAGGTTAATGAGGTGCATTTCAGGAAAATGCAAAGCTAACTTAGACTTGCAAGTGAGAATCATCCACAATTAGCTTTCTAAGGAGCCTTTAAGCTGTCACAGCCGGGCTCACTCACAGCTGGAGGCTCAGACGTGCCGCCGCCTTCCCTCCCAAGTTCACAAGACAAGTGGGGATGAGAATCATGTGGCGTGTGGCTCCATTTGTGTGAAATGTCCAGAACAGGCAAGTCCAGAGACAGGAAGGGCATGAGTGGCTGCCAGGGGCAGGGGGAGGGGGGCGGGGAGTGACTGCTGAGGGGCACGGGGTTTCTTTCTGGGCTGATGGAAGAGCTCTAGAATTAAGACTGCAGTGATGGTTGCACAATACTGTGAGTATACCCCAAACCACTGAGCTGTCCACCTTTAAAAAAGGGAATTTTGTGGGATGTGAAATACACCTCAATTAAAAAAACAAAACAAAATAAAACCAGAATCCAGGGCCGGCGTGGAAGGCCGGGAGGGAGCAGGTGGCCATTCTCAATCGAGTGCCACATGCTCTGGCCAGCCTCTGTCTGCAGGCTCTCTGGGAGAGCCAGAGCCTTCCAAACAGGAAGTTAATGGTACAGCCTTGCCAAGGACACTGGAGCCACCTCCCCTCCCCACCAGTTAATAAGCAGTGACATGAAATGGCCCAACCCGGCACATTCCCTGGAGGACCTGTCCCCGCACCTGTGACAGCGGTGGTCGGTGCACGAGGCGAGGGTCTGAGACGGCTGACCACAGCCGCTGATTTCCACCGTCACAGTCCTTCCTGTGCCTTCTCTTACCAGCTTCACCCCTCCCTGGGGACAGCACCCCACCCCAAAGCCCACCAGTGTGGCAGGTAGCCCCAGACTGTGCAAAGACCACGTGGCCTTGGTGACGGGCTGGCAGGGCACGTGACCCTGGACCTGGACACAGGACATGAGGACACAAAAGGCCTTGCTTTCCCCTCAAGGGACTTCCAGTGCTGCCTGCACCTGCGCCCTCCACCACCGGACACAGGACACCCACCTGCAGCGGGGAGGAGCTGACTGGCTCATAGCAGCCAAGCCCCGGAACCTGAGCCCGTCTTACAGGGGCAGAAGCAGGCACGTTCCCTTCTCTGCTCCATCCCACCTGCACTGGGCTCCCAAAGAGCCTCCCTGGAGGACGTGACTGGTAAGGCTGGGCCCCTCTCAGGCAGCATGTTTAGAGCAGCTGGCTCGGCATTGCTCTGGGCTCTTTCCCTTTAACCCATCAATGTCTCTGGCTGCCTGCCTTCCCCTGCGCTGGGCTAGTGCACACTATTATAAATATGCGGAGGCTCCGGGGAGTCCAGCCCAAGGAACATGGATGTGAGGTGAGGTCAAGGGTACCCCAAGGGTGCTCAGTGACACAGACCAGATCAGCTCAGCCAGCCCTAGTCTGGAGCTGCCCCCTACACTGGGTGGGCCCTCAGCCTCCTCTGGAGTGCAGAGTCCACCCACCCCAGGCCCAGACATGCGCACAGGCTGCAGCTGACTGGACGTGGGGCTGTCCCTCTCCCAGAAATTCAGAGGAAGCTGGTCTGCTTCTGCTGGTGGCCAGAACCTGAGACGTGCAACCCTAGGAGCGTGGCAGTGGAGGGCAGGTAGGCAGTGAGGGTGGATCCGTGGAGAGAAATACCCGAAGGCAGATGCCTGGGCTCTACACGGCTCAGGCTTGTCAGAGCCCCGTCATAGGTCTTGAGGGGTCCCTGATGCACCTGTGTCCTTACTATGAAGGGCCCCTGGAGGCAAAGTAGCTTGGAGCATTTCCATCCCTTTCAGCAGCTCTGTGGTTTGGCTTCACAAGGGCTCCCGAAGATGCCCGTGTCCTAATCCCTGGACCCTGTTACCTTCCTGGCAAAAGGGCCTTTGTATATGGCATTAAACTGAAGAGCCTGAGCTGGGGAGATTAGCCTGGATTATCCAGGTGGGCCCTAAATGTAATTAAGTGCATTGTAAGAGGGAGGCAGGGAGATTTCAGACACACAGAAGAGGAGGCGGCGACATGACCATGGAGGCAAAGACTGCAGTGATGGAGCCACAAGCCAAGGCCTGCCAGTGGCCACCAGAAGCTGGAAGAGGCAAATGGATTCTTCCCTAGAGCCCCCGGAAGAAGTCTGGCCCTGCTGACACCTTCATTTCCACCCACAGAAACTGATTCCAGACTTCTGGCCTCCAGAACTGAGAGAGAATAAATGTCGGATGTTTTAAGCCCCTAAATTGGGGGTCACTTGCTGCAGTAGCAGCCCCAGAAAACTCAGACAAGTACCTTGACCTGGATGGCCACCTGAGCTTGAGTGAGTGAGGGGCCCAAGAGAGACTGTTCTTGGAGACAGGGCTCAGGGGCCACAGAAACATGGCGGGGAGAAAGGCAATGGCTCACCACAGTCCCATAGTCTTGGCCACTCAGAGTAGTAACAGCCAGCTCTCCCCTGGAGAAATGAAACCTGAGGCACGTCCTAATCTCTCCTGGGCTAGAGCTGGCAAACTTTTTCCCATAAGGGGCCAGACAGTATTTTTGGCTTTGCGGACCACGTGACCCCGCTCAGAAACAGCCATAGATGGTCTGTAAACCAATGGGTGTGGCCGTGCCCCAGTAAAACTAATTTCTAAAAACAGACAGCTGTCACTGGCCGACCCTCCTAGACCATTCCTTTCTCTGACTGTGGTTGCCAAAGCGTCGTCTGGTTTCCACATGGGCCTCCATGGGGACTGCCTGCATTGGACCATGGGGAAGGGAGAGCCATCTGGCCTCCATTGTGGTCACTGTCGAGGTCCCTCTGTGGGGTCAGTCTCTGGCAGAGGAGGACCTTCACTCGTTCTCTGGCCTCATATTCACTCTGATACTGACTGAGGGCTGACCAGGTGCAGGCAGAGGAGACCCAGAGGATGACCCGGCCCTGCATGTGCAGTGCCAGAGCCAAACACCTGCTTTGGGTCAACAATCACGTGCCAGGCTGCTTACAGAGGAACATGCCTGGCACCGCTCCTTCCTGCCGCGGGAGACCTTCAGCCAACAGTCATTTGCTCAACAGATAATATTTGCCGTCCATCTACCAGGAGCCAGGCCGCGGGCAGGCACGAGGCCTAACCTGAGCCCCGGAGGCCCTCACACAGTCCAGCAGGGAACACAAATGCGTTAGTAACTGCCGATGGCGCAGAAAGTGCCGCTCACGAGGCACATACCCAAGAGCAGAAGTGATTAGCAATTAGCGTGCTTATCCAGGTATCTAGGGCGGGGAGAGCAAACCAGCCGGCCGTGGTCAGCCCCGCGGTTATGCAAGCACGCCACCTTTCCCTGAGCCTCAGGTTTTTTTTTTTCAATTCTCAGGATCCTTCTTAAACACACCACTTGATTCTTCTTAGCCGACAAGCATCTACCGGAGTTGCTTTCGACTCCCACTAGGGGGAAGCCGCGTTGTTCACTGGCCAGGCCTGACCCAGCCCAGGTGGCCTGGAAGCAACTCAGGGGTGAGTCCAGCTGATGGGTACTGGAAACAATCTCAGGGCCCCGGCCCACACCCCGGGCCCGAGCCACAGCACTGCTGCCACACAGATGGGGCAGGTCTGCCCTCTGAGCTGCCCACCTACACACCTGACCCTCCTGGGGGACTCGCACCCTGGCCTTCACTGTAAACAGATGTCATCCATGGGTGGCAGCATCTCATACATTTGGCGGTTTGTCCAGGGCCGGGCCCATCTATCTGGATCTTCTAACTAATTGGACCAGCTGGCCTCTGGAGGCTGGAGGACTAAGTAACAGCCGCCCCAGAAACACTGCCCTGCCTGAGGGCAGCCTGGGGGGTGCGAGGGAGCTGGGGGCTTACCTAGGTAGTAGAGGCGGTGGGAGTGGGGGCCCGACTCATCCGTCTTCTGCACGAACTGGAAGTCGTGTGGAGCCTTGTTGACGATCAGGCCCGAGTTCTTGCGGCTGCCGTGGATGATGCTGCGAAGCCCGTCCCACGAGTGCTTCTGCACCTGGAAGCGGGAGGCAGGGTCCTCCATCTCGACCGCGTCGCCCCGGTCAGACGTCGGTGCCCCGGTGGCCATCCTCTCCGCCCCCTCAGAATTCAGTGAGAAGCTACAAGGAGGAAGGGATGGGCGGGAAGATGATGAGAAGGGGGGCGGTGCCCCCTATCGGACACTCTGGTTCCTCCAGCAGAGCCCCACTCCGTGCAGCTGTCCCCGTCCCAAGTATTTCTCAAATTGTTCCACTTCTTTTCAACCACGAGCCCTAACATCCAAGCCAGCATCACCTCTCGGCTGAAGGACTATAACCATCTCCCAACTCAACTATATATCCATTGCAAATCAGACCCCATGGCTTAAAACCCTTCCTTGGTTTTCCACAGCCCTTACAGTAAAAGCCAGCGCTTACCCAGCCTCCTGTGCTTTCTGTCCTAATCTCTACTGGGCCCTCAAACCTCACCCCTCTTCATCACGAAGGCCCCAGGCAAACTGACCTTTTCTCAGCTCCTCAAATAAGCCAGACTTCTTCCCACCCCCGGGCCTTTGCATGTGCTGTCTTGTCTGCCTGGAACACTTTTTTCCCCCTCTTTACTGGACTAACTTCTAATCAGATCTCAGCTTAAATACACCTCGGGTCCTTAGATGACCATCTGGACCAAAAGCTGTCTTTCTATTCATCTTCACAAGCCACCTGGTTGCCCCACCCTCATAGCAGTGGTTGTCACAGTGGTTGGTCACGGATCCCTGCCTGTCTCCCTCGCATCTGTCCCGTTCACGGCAGTGTCCCTACAGCCCCACAGGGGCCCGGGCCACAGAATGACTGCCTCTCATTAAGCCCGCTAGGAGACACACTCACTCACACACAAAGAACTGAGCATAAATGGGTCAGCAAACCTCATTACCCGTGCCATCAGCTTGCTGTCCAGCAGGGGCACCACCTGTGTCTCACCAGAGGTGCTCAGAGACCCAGGCAGACACCCGCTGGCTCTCTGAGAACTCCAGGGGAGAGGATGGCCCACCCTTCCCCAGAGGCCAGCCCACTTTCTCCTCCCACCCTGGGGTGGCTGCGGCTGTGCAATGGCTCCCGCCCCTGCCCTCCCCGTACCCACCTTGCTGCTGAGCACACTTCTTGACTGGACTGGCCTGGCCAGGCAAATATTTGTTTTAGGGAAATCTAAACACGGCCACAGTGACCCGGTTTCAGAAGAGCCAGGGTCATCTGGTGAGGCAGGAGAGAGGCCAGCAAATGTGAGTGGGCCAGCCTCGCCTTCCTGTCAGGGCACCAAATGGCTTAAGCCCTCCCTGGACACTGGGATTCCTTGTCCTCCAGGATTAGTGGCTCTACGGGCCCAAGTCCGCATCCCCTTGTCAGAAGGGGCGGTGTGGCAGTACTGGCGGGACAGTGGGGGCCAAGGGACAGCTTTAGGATAGAGCTGATGTTCCCCCTTCCCGTGGGAGCCTTAAGACTCCTAGAAGGTTTTGCCCCTGGCTGATACCAGCCCCCATAGAGTGACCACCACGGGACAAAGGACCCCTGCCCATTTTGAGAGACAAGGGGAGAGACACAAGGAGGTACCCATGGCCTGTGAGCATCTAATGTGGGCTGATTTTCAGAGTCCCTTTCCAGCTCGGCCCCCTGCTCAGTTCTCCCTGACCTGGCCTGGCTTGTGGGGACAGGGGTCTGGGCCACGGCAAGCCTGCGTGTCCTGCCCCCCGCCACGAGAAGCAGTCACTTCAGCTTCTCCCACAGTGGCTCTGAAGACACAGACCACAGGCCGCTGGAGCCTCCAGGCCCTCGGCTCACACAGGGCGGGTCCCAGCCTGCTGCAGCGCTGCGGTTCACCTCTGGGGCGGCAGGGGCCATCGTCCCAGAAAACCAAGAGCCAGGAGCTCCTCTAACCAGCCGAGCCCCGCCCCACCCCACCAGCTCTGCCGCCACAATTTAAGCCTCGCTCACAGGAGAAAAACAGAATGTGGCCTCCAGGTCTCCCGGGGGCCCCCTAAGCTGAGAGCCCGGCAGAAGCACTCACAAAGTCTCTGGCTTGTTTCCATGGCAGAGAACAGTGAAAATGATCTTGCCTGCGATCAGCACAGAGAGCCCAAGAAGCAAAAACACGGTCCAGAAGGTGAGCCACGAAATGAAACATTGGGAGAAGCTTCTAGGAATCTTCGTGATGTGGCCGAGCAGCCTGAGCTCCCAGACAGGTTATGGTGAGCTGCCAGACCCTGGCCCTCCCCTCGCCTCTCTCCTCTCCAGCGCCACAGAGAGGCTCAGAGAGAGGGACAGGGGAACGAAATGCAGCCCTTAGGAAGCAAGCCTGTGCTGGCCCGGGCTCATCCAGCACCAGCCGCGGCTCGGCTTCCTGAGTCAAGAGTTTACACAGCTTGGGAAATGAAAGCGGATTCCAAGCCACTTAAGCCAGGTCCACCTACACTTTTCTTCTGCCAATCGGCAGGATGCCTCGCAGCCCGTGACGCTACCAGCACCCAGCTCAGGACCCTCTCCTCCCCCCGTGCACGCCCGATGGGATTCTGCGGTGCTCTGTCTCAAGAGCTGGGACCACCCGCCCATAGTGACACCTGCTAGTGACCCAGGAGGGGCAGGCCATGAGGCAAGCAGGTGGAAGGCAAGAAGAACTGCGGATTCTCAGCACCGGCTGCAGGTCTGGGGGAGTTTGGGCCCATGGAGTGATAATGCAGGAGGGCAGGGAGGAGGCGCCGGCCAAGGCGAGGTGAGGGGCGGCGGGGGGGGGGGCCCGACCATGCTCCCGAGATGCCTCAGACTGGCCCTCAGGGAACCTGCCATGTTCCTGCAGGTGGAGGTTCCCTGGAAACAGCAGGCCATCCTCTGTCCTACAGGGGCTGCCCCACCACCACCCAGGCACAAGGCTTTTCCAACCAGCCTCACACAGTCAGTTTGCACCCTGGCCCATGCCTACCAGAGACCTACAGCACCAGAGAAAAGAGACTTGGGAGCCCTATCACTAAGCAACCCCCGAATGCACAGGCACCTCCCATTTTCAGAGCCTGAATCTGGGAAACGAACGGCTGTGCTTAACATCAGCCCTGTCTTCCAGAACCATCTATGATTCCCCTCCTGCCTCCCTGATCACTTGCACCCACTAAAAGCAGATAAGCCTAAAATTATCTGAAAACTGAGACTGAGACAGGTTAACTCGGTGTGGGGCTCCTGTGGTCTCTTCTCCTGCCAGGCCTCACTCGTGGAATTTACAAGGTGCCTGGGCCTTGTCTGTGTAATTACATTTAACCCTCACTGCAACCTTGGAAAGTGCATTCTGGGCTGGTCCTCGTTTGGGAGACTGGAAAGTGGGTTCAAGGTCAAAGGGCCCCACCCAATGCCCCCCCACCCCGCCCCTGAGGAAGAGCAGGAGCCCAAGTCTGTTGGATCCAGAACCCACGTTCCAGACCACCCGAGCAGTGTCTCTCACCTGGAGCTAATCCTGTCCCCATGGGACACTGGGTGAGGTCTGGGGACATTTGTGGTTGCTATGACCGGGGTGGGGGTAGTGGGTGTGCCTGGCACCCAGGGGTGCTGCTCCACACCATCCAGTGCCAACACAAGCACAGGATGACCCAGCCCCAGTGTCCAAAATGCAGAGGCTGAGGAGCCCGACACTAGCCCACACTGCCCATGGTGCCGCCCGCAAACAGCCAGAACGCTCCTTGGAAATGTAGAAGTGTGGGGTAGGGCCGGCGGCGAAGGGGCCTTTCCAGACCTAAGACTCCTGGAAATTCAGGAACCTCTGAAACGTCCCCACCAACCCGGGCTCCCAGAGCGTGCCCCCCACCTTCTCCAACGTCCTGTGTTCGCCTTGTCCAGCCGCAGCTTCTTAACCTTCCGCATCAACCACTTGGCTGAACTCGGGGTGGGTGAGCCTGTGAGGGGAGAGACCACAGGGCTGCACGGCTGGCCATGCCGGGTGCACGCCCTTGCCCCCTCCCACTCCCACTCCCACAGCAGCCCTCCTGCCTGCGGGGAACACTCAATGCCAAGGGCATTCTTGTGAAGCAGATGGCTCAGGCCCAGCCCTGAAATCCGCAGGGGGACCAGGCACTGGCCAGGAACAGAGCAGTCCTCCCAAGGTGAGAAGTCCCAGAGGAGATGCGAGTTTCAAGTGACTCACGGGATGCCACCCACGGGCGCTTGCTGGAAATCACATCAACCCAAATTCCCCACCCTGGTCACCCTGGGCCTTCCTGACCCCGCCCCCTCCCCACCCTCTCCCCACCCCCGACCAGGATCTCCAGTCAACTGGCCTTAACCTCCGCCAAACGCACTGACTCATTACGGCCTCGGAGCGCTTGCGCTTACCAGGCCCTCTGCCTGGAACACGCCTGCCCTGCTCTTGTGCGACCTGCTCCCTCTCGTCCTTCGGGTCCCAGTATCACCTCTTCAGGAGTCTTTCCTGGCACGCAATGCAGAGTTGCGGCCTTGTCACCCCCAACACGACGCCTGGTCCTTCCGCATAGTGCTCATTCAGGACAGCGGTTCTCAGCGGGGGTGACTTCGCACCGCGACCCCCCAGGCCCCTGGGGGTGTCTGTAGTCATTTTTTGGTTGCTACCACTGATGAGGGCAGGGGGTTGCTATGGGCATCCAGTGAGTAGGGGCCAGTGGTGCCACTCAGCCCCCTACAGCGCCCGTAATGGCCCCACTCCAGAGAATGATTCAGCCCCAACGTCAGCAGTGCCAAGGGGGAGACACTGTGTTATTACTTGACGGAAAAAACTGAGTTAGATTCTTAGGCTCAAACTGGACGCTAAAATCAATCCCCAATGGTTCAGATGGTATAAACCAGGGTGGTGTCTGTGAGCTGCCTCCTCCCCTCCCAGTTTGTGTACTGAAATGCGTGCAGCATCCTAGGACCAATGTAGGTCAGATGGTTGTGGAACAGAGTCTCTTGTGGGTCAGTGGAATCCCCTAACCCAGGGGGTCCCAACGAGGGACCCCTCGTTCTGTCCCCCATGGGATGCATGCTGCTGGCATCTGATTGGTGGAGACCAGGGATGCGGCTAAGCAGGCCACAATAAGCAGGATGGCCCCCCAACCGCAAAGAATAACCTGGCCCCAAACATCACTTGTGCTGAGGCTGAGAACTCCTCTCTGGGTGAGTGGTGAGCACCTCCCCCAGGATGCCAGCTCCACAGAGGCAGGCCCACACCCGTCCTGTTCCTGCTGTAGCCCAGGCGCACAGGAAGCACTTGGTAAACATCTCGGGTTGAATGAACGAGTCCCTGTCCTTGCTCAAACACTGGCTAAAGTCAAAGGGACCCCTGGTTGGGTGGGTACCCCATCACCTTCTTGACAAGACAGGTGCCCAGAGGTTTAAAGAAAAAGAAAGCAGTACTGCTCACAGCACAGAGATCACACGGAAGAACTGAAGCAAAACGTCAGCACAAAGAAGTACTGATTTCACCCTCAGTCTAGTGCTGAAAACCGCGGGCTCTGGTGTCAGAGAGCTCTGGGTTCAAATCCTGACTCTGCCACTACTGGTTATGTGATCTTGGAGAAGGTGTCCAACCTCTCTGTGCCTCGATTTCCCCAGCTATAAAACAGGACTGCAGGACCTACACCTAGGGCTACTCTTGAGGATCAAATGAAACTGCACAGGTAAAGTAGCTGACAGAGCACAAACCACGTGACAGCTAACACTATCATCTAAACAAGTTACTTAAAATTACATCAAGGGGAGAATTGGATCAAAGTCCCTTTCAGAGCCAGAATCCATACCACTCGCAGATCCAGTGCCAGGCGCTGTCTTAGGTGAGGGGAGTGCCTTCACACCTCTGCCAGATCCAGCTGGAATCAGCACTCCCTCCTTTTCCTCCCCCAGTCCTCCAGGGGTTCTTTCTGCGCTCAGCTAGACTAGAATGCTGGAGAGACAGAAAAGTCTCCAGCCAGAGCACAAAGCTACAGTCAGCCTTCCCTGAGGGCTGTGACCCCAGGGCTGCAGAAGACTACTTCCTGCCAACTTCAATATCCTGGAAAAGACAAATGGATCCCACTGCCCCACACCCAGCCTTCCTGGCCATCCCACCCCAGCCCAACTGACCTTCTAAAGGGTCCAGAAAGCCTCCATTCCAGCTGCAGACATGGGACACGGACCTTGACAGAGTAAATGTGTTATTAACACGGCGATTTAAAACTACTCACTCTCCTTACTTTTGGGGAACCAGACAGTCAAGCCTGATTGTCTACCCAGTAGATCCTAATGATGCCTCACAGCCCTGCAGCGCTTCCTGTGTGCCCCGAACCACACCCAGGAGAAAAGTCCTGCCACAGGGCCCAATTCGCCCAGGATCCAGCAAGAGGGTACAGGCTCCTGGAAAAGTTGATCTCGCCGCTGAGGCAAGTGACTTCCTCACGATGGTGGTGGGGGGAGGGGGCAGGGGTGGGGTCAAAGGGGACGGGCCACTTCGCAGGGATGGGGAAGCGTCAAGGCTGGTTTAAGCCTCTGTGGGAAGAAGGTGGGGGGGGGGACAGGCCTGGGAGGGAGGCTGAGAGAAGGGGCTGCACCCTCTGGGGATGTGGGTGGGGGGAGGCCAAATGATCGGGAGCGGGGGAGGGGTGGAGGCAGGACGCAGGTCAGGGTGGTGGCTTCTGCTCTCCTGCAGGTAGCACGTGCTGCTATGGGGAGGGACAGAAGGTAGGGACCTCCAGAGCCTACAGGGAAGGGAAGGCGTTACCGAGTGCGGCCACCCCCGGAAGAGGCCAGAGCGGCAACGGGATGGGGGAGGAGGTCGCGCCGGGCCGGGCCGCGGGGAGGCTGAGGTGGCCCGATCGGCGGAGGCGACGCGCGGGGAAGAAGGGGCGAGGAGAGGCTGGGACGGGAGCCCAAGGCGGGGGCGAGAGGAACCGCGAGGCTGGTCGGTGGCGGGGCCGGGATACGGGGAGGCCGGGGCGGAGGGCACCGCGGCGGCCGGTCCGCGGAGGGTCCAGGGTCGGGGCTGAGGCGGGGCAGGTCAATGGCGGGTCAGGGTCGCGGCCGAGGCCGGACGGGGCGCGCGGGCGCTGCTCACCGGGGCTCGGGGCTGGCGCGGGGAGGCGGCCGGGCTGGGCAGGGCGTCCCAGGGCCGGCGGCGCCTCAAGCTCGCGGCTCCATGCCCGGGACTGCGGCCCCGGAAGTGGCGGGCGCGGGGGGCGGCGGCGGCGGCCACGGGGGACCCGGCAGCTCGGGCCCCTTTGACCCGGAAGTCGAGCGGCCCAGGCGGCGGCCTCGGATTGGGCACCGGCCGGCCGGCACCAAGGAGCGGGGGGCACTGGGGGTGGACGCTCCAGCGCGGCCCCCGCCGCAAGTAGGGTGAACGTCCTATGGGTGGCGTCTTCCTGTGCAGGGAGGGAAGGTGGGGAAAGACACCCCCGTGTGGCTTGGTATCGTCCAGCCAAATACCTAATACTTCTACTAAAAGGACCTAGAGAAGAACGGATTCCGGCTCGGCGTTGGTGGTATAGTGGTTAGCATAGCTGCCTTCCAAGCAGTTGACCCGGGTTCGATTCCCGGCCAACGCAAGATGTTTTTCAGTTCTTCTCAGTTTTACTATCTGTTTAAAATGGTCTGCATTGAGCTAGAATTTGTATAATTTTGCAATAACTTAAAAAATTCCATAATAATATCTTTAAAAACCGGAGAAAAAAAGAAAAAGCACAAAACCAGGATTTCTACCGTAGTTACTTTGAAGCAAATTCTAAAATCTGCAGTTCAGAAACTATGGCAGTGTTCTTGCCAGGGATTAAACCGGGGACCTTTCGCTTGCGAGGCGAACGTGATAGCCGCCGCACTACGAAGCTACTACGTGTCGAAGTTCTTGAGCTCATTATAGATAAACAATGTTACAGATATTGTCACAGTGTAGCACTTAAAACAAACACTTTGGTTCGTTCTGCCTGGGTGATTTCCGCTCTTCGTAAATATTCATCGCCGTGCTTCATGCGGTTGATGCAGGCAGGTGGAAAACACAGAAGTTTAAAAATCCAGTAACCCCATTCTCCATTCACACACACACAAACACACTACTGAAATAATCCAGGACAGAAATTGCTCACAAACCCATCATGAAGCCAAACAATGTTTCATTAGTTCTCTCATAGATAGATTCTTAATTTAAACTCTTACCTGTCTACAAATATAAACCATGTTGCTTCAGCCCAAATCACTTTTTACAAGAACTTTCTGCAAAAGCCTTCTAGGGACGCCAGGTGTAGCAAATTTGGAAAGGAAAAAACAAACAAAATCAGACATACAAAGAAGATAATTAAAATGACTTTTCATCTCATAACATGGAGTTAACTCATTTTAAGCTAGTCTTCTTTTTTCTTTCTTCCTTCCTTTCTTTCTTCCTTCCTTTCTTTCCTTCCTTCCTTATTTCTTTCTTTCTTTTTCTTTCTTTCTTTCTTTCTTTCTTTCTTTCTTTCTTTCTTTCTTTCTTTCTTTCTTTCTTTCTTTCGGGAGGTTGTTTTTATGTATTTTTAATGGCTATTTCCCCCAGAACATTGTTGAAAATATAGAAACTTAAAAGTAGGTGTATTAAAATTCTCAACATGAAGAGCTTATCATTTTACTTTTCTATATTTAATGGAAGCAAACTTTTGCAACATACGCCTTTGGGGTAAGGGGCAGGAATTAACCAATAAAAATCACATGAAACACTAAGCAGCACACAGTTTTGCTTTTGCCTCAGATCCCAGTGTGGCTCAGCTGGGCTCTGTCATGCAGCGATACATCTTGAAGATCTTCTGTATCAGTTCCCTACCGCTGCTGTGACAAATGACCACACAACAGCTGAAACAACATAAGTTTATCATCTTACACTTCTGGAGGTCAGAAGGCCAAAAATTGGTCTAAAGGGGCTAAAATCAAGATGTTAACAGGGCTGCATTCCTTCTACACGCTCTGTTTTTTGAGAATTCAGGAGAATCTGTTCCTTGACTTTTACGGCTTCTAGAGGCTGCCCACATTCCTTGGCTCATGGCCCCACCTCACTCCAACTTCTGGTTCTATTGTCACATCTTTGATTTTGACTCTCTTGCCTCCTTCTTCTAAGGACCCATTTGATTACATCAGATCCACTCAGATAATGCAAAATAATCTCCCCTCTCAAGACTCTTAACTTAATCCTGTGCAAAAGTCCTTTGTGTCATGGAAGAAAGCATCTTCACAGGCTCTGGGGGCTAGGATGTATACATTGTAGGGGAGCAGTATTCTGCCAACCACACCTTCCCTCATCATTAAACATTCTTCTCTGACATCATTTTTGACAGCTGCATAGTGTTCCATCTGTTCATTCATTGAACAAGCATTGCCTGACCATTTACTACATGAACTGGAAGGCGGGCAGTGGGTGAGGCAGAAGTTCAAGCTGGCCTGGAACTAGAAATGAGTAGGCTGATCTGAGGAATGTTTAGTACCTAATATGGACCAGACCTACCACTTCACCGCCACTAAGAGGGCTGTAATCAAGAAAAACAATAACAGGTGTTGCCAAGGATGGAGAGAAACTGGAACCCTCATACTTTGTTGGTGGGAGTGAAAAATAGGGCGGCTGCTGTGGGAAACCATCCTCAAAAGGTTAAACATAGTGTTATTATCCAGTACACCAGGTATGGTCCTGCCCCAGGGCCTTTGCACATGCTGTGTCCTACTGGCTTCTCCCAGTTCTTTCCAGGACTCACTCCCTCTCCTCCAAGTCTGGGTTTCAATGTTACCTCCTCAGAGGGGCCTTCCATGAGTCCAGCTAACTTTAATCTTCTCCCCAGACTTGGCACCCACAAATTCAGTTCCTATCACTTCACCATGTTCTTTCAATGCTTACCAGTCTCTGAAATAATGCCATTTGTAGATTTGTTTGCTTGTTTCTCCTCTGTCTACCCCACTGAGCTGTGAACTTTACCAGGTCAGGGTTGTTGTTGTTGTTGTTTGTTTGTTTGTTTGAATCTATTTTGTTCCCTACATGCCACTATGGGCTTGTAAACATTTGTTGAAGTTACGAACAAATGAACAGCTGGTCAGAGGCGAGAAAATGCCTGGGAATGGGGACAGAATAACACAGGGGGGCTTCCTGGTAGAGGGAGAGAACCTCAGAAAATATGTCTCTCCCCCTTGAACCCCATCAAGGCCTGAGAGCTCATTTATCCAAAACAACAACAACAACAAAAACTCCTTTAAAATGATTTTGATTTCCTGCATCCTTCAAACCCACTCAAGGCAGCTAATGCGCTGTGGCACCCAGCAAGTCACTCCCTCTCTGTGCCTGTACTTTCCTGTTTGAGGTCTGGTTCCTGTTCTCTGAGAGGCTACAAACTCAGGCAGTGCCTTGGATGAAAATGGTAATTCCTTCTTTCCACTAGGTGTCAGCAGGAGCCCAGGTGACGGACATTGTGCAGTGTCTCACCCCCCCATCCCCCAGCATTATCCCCTGCCTGCCCCTCACCCCCTCCTCCCTTCCAGCTCCACTCTGAGCCCCAGACAACAGCATCTCAAAGTCAGGCCCTTCCTTCCCCTAACACATACCCCGGCATTTGCAGAAGTGTCTCTGTACCCAGCAGGCAGAGCTGCTGTCCTGTTCTACCAGGGGTCTAGCCTTCAAAGAATCTTGAGGAAGGTTACAGGGAAGAGAAGGAAAGAGGAAAGGAAGAAAGGAAGCCGGGAAGAATTCAATGTTTCCAGTCTGGAAAACATTTCTTGCCAATGCTAGCTGCAACAGATCCCTTTGGATCTCCAGGATTAGCACTCATAGAATAATGAAAATGTGAGCTGAGAGATTTCTAAGAAAAGGTCACATTTTAAACTCATTTAGTCCTCCCAGCAACCCTGTGATACTGCCTCTATCAGCAGCACCATCCCCTCTTTTATTAGTAAAGAGACCCAGGCATACAGAGGTTAACAACATGCTCAAGGAGACACAGAGAGGTTAGGTAACTTGTCCAAGGTCACACAGCTTATTAGTAGCAGAAGGAAGATTCAAAGCCAGGTGGCCTGGCTCCAAAGCCCATGGCAAGAGGCTAGACTGCTTACTACATAGAGGAAGGAGACATGCTGTTGTAGAAAGGCCCCCCCACACACACACACTCCCCAAGTAACAACAACCAGGACATTCAAAGTTAAAAAGAGCAAACAACAGATGGGTCTCCATCTCGTGGGCAGATGTGTGAAAATAGATGCTTTGGAAATTGCTAGAATCAAATAGGAGACACCATTGAGAAAGGTAATTTCTGGCAGTACCCAGACTAGACTGCCTTCTACATAGATGAGATCCAAGGTAATCAAGATAATTAAAAATAAAATAAAAGTCCATTGAATCTTTTTCAAAAGATGGAAGAGTCTCAATTCTTGTGGCATACCCCTATGCAATGCTGAATTTTGATGAGCCAAATGTCATAATTAAAACTCACTAAAATGGTAAGAATATAGGATATTTGCTTGGATCTCTTAAAAACAAGAAATAAGTCATTTCTGATACAGTTCATGTCCTCTGTGAACTGATATTACGTTTTCAATTAAAAATTAGTTCAGAAAATAATCATAGTTCACTACTCATTAATGAATTGGTTAACTAGTAGTTAATAATGGTAGTTAAGGTGCCAGGTCCTGAAATAGGTGTTCTAATCACTTCTTTATCATAACCCATTCTGATGGGGGGCGGGACTTTCATTAAGCCCATTTTACAGATGGGGAAACTAAAGCTTGTCAATTTAACTTACACAAGAAGCTGTGTACTGGAGAGCGACAGAGACGGAGAGAGATTAATTTCATCAACAATCTCGCTCACTCCACCCCCATACTGGTCCCCTACAGCAGTGCTATTTCAATAAGAGGAATTTTTGCTATTGACAAATAATTTTAAATTAAACTATTTACTCCCTCAGTGTCAAAATAACCATGTTTATTCTCAGGGCCACGTGGCAATTCTTTGATTGATTTCCTGGGGAGGGTTGCAGTAGCTGGGAGCTCCCCAGTCCTCCCTGTCTTTGCAATTTTCATTGATTTGTGGAATGGTCCCTTTTGTCTGCAGCCCATGCTGCGTTTTCTCAAAACACACAAAATTTGGGGAGGGGATTCCTACATTATATCTCACACACCACCGTCACCACAACTGTAACAGCAGATGACATTCACAGCAACCTCCTGGGCGCTGGGTACACTTCTAATATATTTCACGCTCACAGTGACCCTGTGAAGTGTGATCATTAATCCGGTTTTATTCATAGGGAAACCGAGGCC